GCAAACTAAACTAAACTGGAAACCCATAAACAAAACTCAGTGAGACACAGGGAGATCCACACAGCATGAGGGACGACACGACACGGACACAGAGAAACACAGGGCTTAAATACACAGAGGGAGCAATCAGGGAATGAGTAACAGGAGGGAAACACAGCTGGGGCAAATCAGGCCTAACGAGACAAAGGAAGCACAGCCAGACGCATTTACATGAGACACGGACTTTCAAAGTAAAACAGGAAACATAACACAGACTGAACTTAGACACACAGACAGGCACTACAGAGGGAACAGAGACGTGGGACCAGGGCAGACACAGACACTGACAGGACACGGGGATATAGCCGACAGGGGAGACAGCAACTAAGGATAACACAGAGACATAAACCAAAAGACAGAACTCTAACAAAGAAACCAAAGACTAGAAATTATAAATAATATAATAAACTCAAAAACCCTGGGTCAACGACCCAGGCATCCTAACAGCAACATTTTTCGACATTTAGCTCAAAACCTTACAAAAACATGTTTTTTCGAGTAATTTTTTACAACATTTAGTAAAATATTTGTAACTTTTCATCAAATGTTAAATATTAAATCTAAATGTTAAATATTAAATCTAAATATTATATTTAAATCTAAATGTTAAATATTAAATCTAAATGTTAAATATTAAATCTAAATGTTAAATATTAAATCTAAATATTATATTTAAATCTAAATGTTAAATGTTAAATCTAAATGTTAAATATTAAATCTAAATGTTAAATTTAAATCTAAATGTTAAATGTTAAATCTAAATGTTAAATGTTAAATCTAAATATTATATTTAAATCTAAATGTTAAATGTTAAATCTAAATGTTTAGGCTAATATGCAAATTTATTGTACGGATCAACGGAAATACCAAAATAAAAGCTTCCCGAAAACCTCCGGTGCAAAATTGTGTCTGTTCTCCCCCTCCCTTCTCCCCGCCATGTGCTGCTTCACTTCTTGCCTACGAGACTGCAGCTAAGTGGATGCAGTGCTGATTTTCTAACACTGGAAAATAACTCAAAATGTTAGAAATATTCCAGTGTTAGAAAATCAGCACTGCTCAGTGTTAGCCATTGTTAATCTTCAAAACTGACTAGGTTACTTTTAAACATATAACACTGTCAAAAGTGTTAATTTAACACTCAACAGTGTTGTGTGGACCCATATAGACACTCTCTAGTGTTAATTTAACACTGGAGATTTTGCTGTGTAGCCTCTTTAGTTAGATTCATTTTAAATTTTGTCCCTCGAAGATAAATGGGCCCTAGTGACAGTTCGTTGCTGCTACAGGTGATTGTTTTACTCCTTTAGCAATGGCTTAAAAAATAAAGAAATCACACTGACTATTTGTCTCTTAATCATAGGGCCTTAAATTCTCTATACATGACAGTGAATATTTTAAAGACATTAGCTTGAAACTTATCTTTCTCATACAGTTTATTTAATGTTTCAAAAGCCTCTTCAAAAATGCACTGTATATTCATTTTCTATCTGTTACACACGAAGACTGAGACCAGCCAGATTCAGAAGACTGTGAGCTGCCTAAAGCCGCAACCAAACAGCTTTCCAAACAATGATCTGGACCTGAAACATCCAGAGCCTGAAAGGGTAAATATAATCCAGTGTACCACTTAATGAACTAATAATTTAATCTATCATCATTCTTTATGGATGCTGTGTGTGTGTGTGTGTTTGGCAGTCACCTGGGTGTGATGTGATTTACATGGACGAAGTTTATTAGTTGATATCTGCAACTGAATTGAAAACACCTCACCTTTCCAACTGTCCAAAACAAATAAATGTTGCAATATTTTGCTAACAGTGTCACAATCATCGTCTGGTGTGCACAACAATATCATCTTTGGACAAGTGCATTCAGTGTGTGCTGGCGGTGATTTCATTTTAGTGGTAGCATGAGACGGTCTACAACCCACACAAGTGGCTCAGGTAGTGCAGCTCATCTAGCGTAGCACATCAATGTGAGCTGTGGCAAGAAGGTTTGCTGTGTCTGTTAGTGTAGTGTCCAGAGCATGGAGGTGCTACCTGGATGTGGAGTAGGCCATAGGAGGGCAACAACCCAGCAGCAGGACCGCTACCTCCACCTTTGTGCAAGGAGGAACAAGAGGAGCCCTGCAAAATGACCTCAAACAGGCCACAAATGTGCATCTGTCTGCTCAAATGGTCAGAAACTGACTTCATGAGGGTGGCTTGAGGGTCCAGCGTCCACAGGTGGGGATTGAGCTTGCAGCCCAACACCATGCAGGATGCTTGGCATTTGCCAGAAAACACAAAGTTTGGCAACTTCGGCACGGGCACCCTATGCTCCTCACAGCTGAAAGGAGGTTCAAACTGAGCACGTGACAGTCTGGAGATGCCGTGGGGAACGTTCTGCTGCCTGCAACATCCTCCAGCATGATCATATTGGCAGTGGGTCAGTAATGGTGAGGGGTGGCATTTCTGTACATGCCAGAGAGCCTGACTGTCATTGGGTAACAAGATGAGGTCCTCGGACCCTTTGTGAGACCACATGCTGGTGCGTTTGACCCTGGGGTCCACCTAATGCGAGACGACACTGGACCTCATGTGGCTGGAGTATGTCAGCAGTTCCTCCATGACAAAGGCATTGATGCTATGGACTGGCCCGCCTGTTCCCCAGACCTGAATCCAATTGAGCACATCTGGGACATCATGTCTCACTCCATCCACCACAAACTGTCCAGGGGTTGGCAGATGCTTTAGTCCAGGTCTTGGAGGAGATCCTTCAGGAGACCATCCGCCACCTCATCCCGAGCATGCCCAGGCATTGTAGGGAAGTCATACAGGCATCTGGAGGCCACACACATTCAACTACACACTTTCATGCCATTCAACTACCTAAAGAACAAAGTATTTAATAAGAATAATTCCTTCATTCACATCTGGGATGTCCTTTTTTTTGGGGGGGGGGATTAGCAGTGTATGTGTAGTCATTAAAATATCCTTAAGTGTGAACAGTTTGGTTTTTGTTTTGTTTTTCAGCATTTGACATTACTGCAATGCTTTGACAAAAAACGACTTCACTTAAATAGAACTGCAAAGCTAAATTAAGTCTATCAAAATGTGTTTCAGTTTGTTTAGGGGTCTGGCACAAATCTTGCCTTGCAAAATTGGCAAATCAGAATTGCCACCAGTCAACACAGGTGTGTATCCCATTCATATTTGGCTTGACTTTGTTTTTCAGTTTATTTTTTACCTGTCTAAAGTATTGATCAATTAAAATAACTTTTGTTCTTACATTCCAGAAAGAAGAAATTTCTGAATATTCAGGGGAGGATGGATTGCCACATTCAGTTCTGGATCAAATATCAAGCGATGATGATGGCAACCACAGCATATCAGAAGAAGAATATGTGCCAGATTCAGAGTCATATGATGAAGATTCAGATGAAGACATCTCATTATTGCCAAGCACATCAAAAGGTCTGCTATGCCAAAATGACATCTCCAAAGCGCATGAACAATCAGATTCAATGAATTTAATCCACAACTTGACAAAGGACAAGCCACAAGATAAAAGTGAGCTTTGCGAAACTGAATCAGAAAAAATGACTTTAAGTAAAAGAAATTACTGCTATTTTTGTGGCAAACCACAAGCTAAAATTTCCCGCCACCTGAAAACGCACAAAACGGCTCCTGATGTTGTGCATGCATTTTCCCTGCCTAGAGACTCAAACGAGCGTAAAAGTCTGTTAGAGAAATTGAGAAATAAGGGAAATTTTAAGCATAATGCTGCAGTTTTGCATGGTGGAGTGGGACCACTGAAAGTGAAGAGAAGACCCAAGATTAAAGCAGTAGAGGGAAAGTTCGCTCATTGCTTTTATTGTCAAGGGATGTATGTTCGCAAGGATCTTTGGAGACATGTCCGCAGATGTCCGAACAAACCAAAAGATGATACGGATAAAGGACCTGGAAGAACCAAAGTACTCTTGACACTCAAGTCTTAATTTGAAAGATAAAGATAAGATAAGATAAGATAAGATAGAACTTTATTAATCCCTCGGGTGGGTTCCTCTGGGAAATTCGACTTCCAAAAAAAGCACAGCAACGACCGAAGTTACAGTTACAGAATTGTTATATATATATATATATATATATACACACAACACACACACACACACACACACACACACACACACATATATATAAATACAGAGACAAATATAAATAAAATATACAAAGGGGATAAATAGAATAAATAGGAATAAAAAATAAAAATACAAGTGAATTGCACATTTCAAGTATTGAGTCTATTGCACTGTTGACTATTTACAAAAAGTATTGCACAAGGTATTGTACAGTGAGGTGAAGAGGCACTACAGCTTAGTTGTTCCCCCCTCCTTTGTCCTCCTGTTTCCTGTTTCCCCTCCCTCTCCCCTCCAGAGAGGAGTTAAACAGTTTGATGGCGTGTGGGACAAAGGAGTTTTTAAGTCTGTTAGTTCTTGTCTTGGGGAGAAGCAACCTGTCACTGAACAGACTCTTCTGGGTATGATAATCCGCGTTCACCGCGAATTCTACAGATTACCAGTTCCCACAACACAGCTGGCCAAGATTTCCAAACTGCTTTTAACACTGGAAAAAGGACATCTTTCCCAGATCCAGGGGAAATCACTGGATGAGATCAAAATAGAAGGTTTGTATTGAAAGGAGCAAATATTAGGGCAGTAGTTGAATATTATGCTTTATCAACAGAATTAAAACCTAAAAGCACAGACCATTCTGTTAAATGTCCATGATTTAAGGTTCTTGAAGTCTATTGTTTTTTTTTTTTTTTTCCTTTTTTTATGACTTTCCCCTGCCAGCCAATAAAGCTGAGTTTTTGTGTTTAAACCTCATGCCTGAGTGCCTGCATTTTGGGTCCAACTCCTGCCTGCCACACAGCGACTCATGACAGTTGCTGTTAATTTCAGCATGTTTCACTTTACAAACGGAACCCCAAAGCTCCTTGCTATCTAAAATATAACCTGGCGCTGACCTAAACTCTCGACCGTCTCACACTTTCTTTAATTAGTTTTCTGTTTGACGTTTATTCAGCTGTGTGAAAACCCTGGAGGAACCCTCCCGAGGGATTAATAAAGATAAATTTAATTTAATCTAATTACTTTAATCTCAGCCAAACCGATTTACTCACAAACAAATAAAACACTGAAAAAGCCAAACAATAACATTTTTAAGTTATCAATGTGACTTATATATCATGTTTGACCCGAGTAGTGAAAGACAGCGGGGGTTTGAAGACGATGTGTCGATCGGCTCAGATATTTGAAGTTTACACAGCTACATCCTCACCTGAAAATATGTTAAAGGTTTTTTTGCGACCCAGAAAGAGAAATAAGACTAACTTAGTAGCTGCCGTCATTGTTGTAAACTGGAATTGGCTGGGCCGCGCTATGAATTCTGCGATATGGTTTTTCAATTTTGTTGTCCAGGTGGAAATTCGGGAGAATGGTGGCTCCGGGATTCTCCCGGAAAAATCGGGAGGGTTGGCATGTGTGGTTGTGGCAACATCACTAACCTTGTCAAACACCTCAGAGTAAATCATGTCACAGAATATGAGGCGCGTATGTTGAGACGAAGAGGAGGACAGGGACAGGTGCTGCTAGGGCGAGACAGACGTCTCTCACGGAGTCCTTCAGTGCTGCAGGCAGGCAACGTGTTCAAATAGGCACAACTTCAGTTTTTTTATTTATATATGATGAACTCTGCATTATTAAGTGATAAGAACAAGTAATCTGATGTCCTGTAATCATTATGACGCTATAATTTGAGATACAATAAATAAAATAAGTTTTTGTACAAAGTATCGGTATCGGATCAGTATCGTCGATACCACCCTGAATATTACTTGTGTCGTGGTTCGAATTTGAGGAAGAGACATACGACTGAAAATCCATAGTAGGTCAACACAAATTATTTTATTAAGACACACAGTACAGTACAGTGTGGGAAGAGCCGGACTTCTTCTTCGTCTGCACAAAGACAGAAAGCTTTATAGTCATTAATGACGTCAGAAGAAATCAGAAGAATTCCCCTCTCTCCTTCTATGTTCAAAACACCCTCAACTTCCCAGAACTGCACCAGATGTTTCCACTCATGCTTTCTGGGAACCTAACCAATTGTGAATACAGAGTGTGCAGTTTTGTGAGTGTAGGTCCAAGCCAACAAAAGTTCACCGTGTCCTCATATGACTTTTACTGCGGCCTGACTGGACCCACCGCTAAACTGGTGCTTTCTAAATGATCTACTGAAAATGATAAATGATAATATTGCTGATAAACTGATGCAGACTAATGAAGTAATGATGAAATAATAACAGTGTATGTAAATGATATCACAGTGAGATTTAAAATAAGATGTTTTTCTCGACACTTGGTATTGGATCGGAAAGGAAATCAGTGGTATGGCACATCACTAGCCATTACCCATCATACACCACTCCCTCCATAAATGCAATAAATGATACAAAAGTAATAGCTGTACTTAATGTATCTGCTGTATCTGCTGTTTCTCGGGTAGTTGTTTACATTATATAATTTATTGTGTTCAGTATACATCACTACAATGTGATTTTGGAAATATATAAATATACGGACAACAGCCTCTTCCGTGGCAATCTCTTGCCGTCAATAACCAACGTTTAGGGAGCTCTATAGTATTCAATGAGAGGACCCTGCACGTCAATTCTCGACGCGAGGGGGGTACCCTGTGCATCGATAAGTGAAGCAGAGGCAGCCTGACCATGCATCACGCATTTGCCGAGTTGGGAGTGAGAGCGTGTTGGAACAGGAAGTCCACTCTTCTTCCTGAGCTTGCTGTGTGGATCTAATAAAACACTTCTGTTTAGAATTTAGAATTGTTTAGAATTCTTATGACACAAAAAGGATACGACCTAAATATATACTAAATGGATATAAATACTTTTAAATTCAGATTCTAGATTCTAAGTTATAATCAAATCTTATATGTGTGGTGGCACAAGCACAAATCTCATCTGAAGATGTGAGAAGTCATGCCTTAGCTTACACATCACCACTAGTTCCCATTTTAGTAAGATATTTGTTAATGAATAGATTTTTCTTTCAGCTAACCAAGAAGATAAAATGTTAGTGAGTCTGTACAATTAAGTGAAATAAATATCAGTGAATGAAGCACAGAAGTGGGTTTCAGTAAAGTCTGATGTATTTATTTTGTCATGTTCAGGGCATGAAAAATAAAGGATCACATTTTTAAAATTTATGCACAAAAAAAAAAAATCATTATTTGCCAGAAAGTAAATTCAGTGACTCTTTTAAAGTATGTTTTCAGTGTCAGTGGATTTTCAAAATCATCCACTGCAGTTCAAATCAGATGATTAACTATTTGCTGCAGCATATACATATATATGTGTTGCAACACTGAAAGTTGTCATGCTGTGTTCCACAGTAACATCACCAAATGTCTGGGTCAGATCATGACCATCAGCTTTTCCTCTAACAAACCCTCTCTCATTATGGTAATACATCTTACGATAAAGAGCATTATCACAGTTTGTGTTCTTGTCAAAGACTCCAACTGCGCACCAGTTAGAGAACAGGCGGTGGTCAAGAGGAACCGAGAACATGACGGCTATTTTCTTATCGGCTCCATCTGTAGTTGGATCGTAGAGATCGTAGGTGAAGACTCCAACAGATCCACGGCCTGTGACACCAGAGAACAGAGTGTTGCCAGATTCAGAAGGCCCAAGTTTTGTTGGCAAAGGAATTTGGCAACGTCCACTAACAAGATACAGACTAGTCAGAAAAAAGAAAAACATGAATTAATACGATTATTCAAACACTCGTCATCATGAGGCAGGTAGATCAGCTTGAGTAAGAAACAGACACAGGGAGATTGCTGCTGACATAAGAACATTGTGACAGGAGTTCATAAGAAATTTGCTGAACTGCTCATCTGACTCCTTCTGTTATTTTATTACTGATACCTGCGTGTCTGATGTGACCTGCAGGCAGCATTTCAGTCACAATAAAAACTGATTCACAGAGAAAAATATAACTTCAAATAAACAACTCTAACTTCTGTGCCAATGTGTTAAATGTGTTTCTTTGTGTTTCTTTGTTACAGCTTCCTGTGTGTACAAACACACAGGTGTGATTCTGCTGAGCTCAATTCATTTCATTTTGTTTAAATTTCTCTCGTTTTTAATTCATCAGCTGTTCAGTTCTGCAGCACTCACCTTCTCCACTTAAAGGTTAATATGGATGAGTTTGTAAAGTAAAGTGAAAAAATGTAGTTAAATGAAATGGATTTTTAATGTGTATAAACTTACTATAAAGTTACAGAAAGATCCCGCCCACTTTAGAAACCACCACCATAAACACTAAAAGACAAATGTGTGTTCACCAGGGGTTACGAAGTGTGTAGCGGTCACTCTTGTTTGTAATATAAACGCCAGACTGCTGAGCACCCATGGTATCTGCAAACTGAAGAAGAAAAAGAGAGAAGAATGTGTTTCTGTCTGTGGGAGCATCTCTGTTTGTACATCAGCACATGGCCAGAGATTCCAGAAACCATGATAAAAATGCCATCATGTCCACTGATCATTTACATTCCCTACAGAGCTTAACCCTGTTGAAACTTCCCAATAAAAGACACCTTTTTTTAAAAGTTTCTTTCAAAGGGCTCTGTAGCTTTTTTCACCTAAATTTCCCGTTTGTCATTTCATGCCTCAAAAATTTGGAAAAAACATTTTAAACATGGATCTCTCAGTGTGTACATTACTCATGTTTTCTACACTCCAAACACTGGAGTTGGTCTTGGTCTTGTCTTGGTCTCGCTGTCTCGGTCTTGCTGTCTCAGATTGACATAGTGGTCGGGAGATTTGGAGTCAACAGTATCCATGACACACAACGTAACGTTCGATAATGTGTCATGCGCAAAAGCATCAGCTTTA